GTTTATCTGTCCATGTTTTGAGATATGTTTAAGAGGTAACCCCCCTGATAATAAGATATGATAGAATAACACTAGAAAAATGTAACAGCCACATCTCTTTCCAGAAATGGTTTTCCCATTACTTTGGATAATACGCCACTGAGTCACATGGCGTTACGTCCGTGGCTTAAGTTACGTTGCAAGCGAACTTATTTTAAGCCAAACATGATGTTTATTTTCTATCCCTAACTAATTGGTTTCGTTACCTAAACCTCACTGCTGCAAGATACTATGCAAAAGGCCGATGTCATAGTGATGCTAGAGGCTCTTGCCCAAGCGGCAAAATATCATGAGTAGGAATGAGATCACCTTGTGGTTCTTGTTCTATTTTGGTTTACTTTAGATAAAGTTAGTACCAGCCCTTTTTTTCTGCATCTCTCTGCACACTCCGAAGACAAATGTCTGCACTTGCAGTAGTAAACATTAAGAATATCTTTTATTCTGTTCTCATGTCACCTGGAGCTTCGTAGTTGACACTGATATGGAAGCGCTTGACTTTGCGGATAATAGAAATCATATTCAGGTGTGTCTATTCAGATTTTGCTTCTGTCGTGATGCAGAAAATCCCCTTTTACACCTGCAAAATCACCATATCTGCAGATATTTCCCTTTACAATATTACATTACATTCATTCCACCACTGTGGAGCCAGAACAGAGATATGACAGTGATGTTTAACATGTAGACATTCTTGCAACAACAAAAAAAAAAGGGAAGAAAATTGCATCACAAAGTGTTTCCTTGCATTTTCTTTTCTTTGACAATTGTGGTTTGGTTTACTAGAAATGAGGAAGGAATAAAGCTGTGTCCCAGTTCAGGGGCTCTCGCCTCTGAAGTCCATATTCTTAGACCGAATGCATCGTAATTGGCCAACAAATCCTTTTGCTTTTGAAAGGATTCTCCCAGTGCGGCTCAGAAAGTGCAGCAGTTCTTGTCCAAATTTGGAGGACACAAGCAGTGTGTCCTTTTCAGCCCTCAATGTGCCGTCATCTATTGTCTGCTGTTCATTGTTTACTTGCAATTATTTGGTTAAATCCATCACATTTTGACACCTCTTTGTTGCTTTGTGCTCATCCACGCACTGTTTCCAGTGCGGCGGCAGTAGCACAGTTTCCTATCACATTCTAATCATGGAGGAGTCTCTCTCTACCACTGCAGAGCCAACACTTTCTGTTGTCTTTGATATGCTAACATGCATTTTTGTTTTCTGTGAAAGCCGTGGATGCTTACATTAGGGATCTGTTAGATCCACGCTATGGCCATTAGTAAGAAAAAGAAATAGCTTTGTAAAAAGATGGTTGTGAAAGGATCAGCAGTGAAAAGAAAGCCTTTAAATGGTGATGAGGCTCATTGCTGTTATTTTCCACACATGACTTTTTTTTTTTAGTGTCCATCAGGCAACACAATTTGTTTCAAATGGACTGCATGCCAATACATTTTTGCCCTCCATTAAATGTGCTGTAATGGAAGGGGGGTTACAATAGCTACTACTAAATGCTTCATAAAGTAAACGCTCGCTGTGAAGTGGAGTTAATACCTCTGATGATTATTTCATGAGTCAAATCAGGATAACGGTGTTTCTGCTCGTCCAGTGATTTCAGGCCTCTCGAAGCCCTGAGGAGGCTCCCGTCAGTGGAAAAGGCGAAGCTGGAGAGCTCTCGCGTTCACTTTACTCCTCGTTTCGAGGCAAATGACTCCTCTCCAGCTGACAAGTCTGAGCGTCTCCGTCTCCTGCAGCACGGTTCAGACGAGCCGTCGGCTTCTGTGCCCGGCGCAGCCACAGAGTGATGTATTCATTTAATTTCAGAGTGATGACATGCTGTACAGAGACGGACGAGCTGGCCAGCCATTCCCACTCTGACCCTCCCCCCCCCCCTCCCCCCCCTCTCTCTCTCTCTCTCTCTCACTCTCTCTTTTTCTCTCTCTTTCTCACACATACACTCATACAAGTGTGAGTAAGTGAGCAGCCAAAGCTTGACGCATGCAAACGCAATTTAACGTCCCTGTGTTGCCTGTTAATCTACTGTGTGATAATTGTTTTAGTAATAACACAGCCTTCTGTGTGGGGGGCTGATGGGCCGTCATTAGCTCTGTGGAAAGGTTTGAACTCTGTTATCTGAGCCCCTCTCCCCTAATTTATTTTGTCTTTTCTTGGTTCCAGCAATTCATTTATGAATATTCATTCCCGTTATGTAGGAGACACGGCTACTGCTTTTATTAACTGAACGTATAAACAAACATACAGGGATTAGGGGCTTATGAAAACAATTAAACGTGAAAATCTTGTTTTCAAATATGACGAATTACATTACACATGCCATATAACATATTTCTCTTGTAAAATGTGTGTGTGTGTATATATATATACAAATATATAAATATATTTAAGCTTAAATTCTAAACTTCTTCAACTATGACCTACTGTGCTTGCCGTAGTTAAGTTTTAATTAAGGGGTTTAGATAATCTGTTGCTTGGCTTGTTTACAACAACTGTCTAAATGTTCGACTGCTTGTTTCCCCATTGGACTCGCATTCACAGATCTAAGCGATTACTGTGGTGAACACAATGTTATCAGATAGAAACCACCTCCTCTTATGTCTCATATTCAGAGGCTGCACTGTAGTGCTTACATCATCACTTCATGTCGCAAAGGCCATCAATTCTAATGTGTACCTGGTCGGTGTGAGCTTTATATCTCGATATTTCATCCTAAATGTTTTGTTTGTGTTGAGTTCTTATGAGTTCTTCTCAGTTTCATTCATTTTCCAAACAGAAAGTTGGAAAAATCTGCCTCCTCTCAGCCTCCATTGATATTCTCTGGAGTGGGTCCACTCTCCCTTCCCATAAATATGCATGAGAGCTGTTGAGCTTTGGTATTGGATGGGCTTGATCCCTGTGTGTATGTGAGCCTGTGCGTTTTTGTGTCTGAATGTATTGGAATAGGCTAGGATCGGGTTATGTATCGGGGAGCTGTGTCACATGCACTGTACTTTGCGTGTGAACGTGTGTGAGGGGCCAGGGGCTTCCAGTGTTGGGGTCATTCTCAGCCGCAGGGAAGCTGAAATGTCACGACTGGCTGCCCGCGGCTCTCGGGCTGCCGCTGCCTCTGGCGGGCTGGCTCTTAATTTAGGTGGCTGATGAGGGCGGAGTGCAGAGCGCATGTGGTGCTGAGACGAGCTGCAGGTCCATCGCCTGCATCATACCACCAGCTGAATCCTGTCCTTGAAGTGGAAAATACCAGTACTGTCCTTTTTCAAGAAGTAGAAGACTTCAAGGGTTTTGACTATGCAAATCCACATCATTTTAGACCATTATCATTACTGTGGATGACGCCCAAAAAGCCATGAGACAAAACTTTTTATAGTTGAAGAATTATTTTATTATTTACCCATAACACAGCCGTCCTCTAAGCATTTGATTCCTCTTGAAATATTTACCTTGTAAAATCATACTAAATCCAAAGAGCAGGTTCAGAAAACTTTTGACGAAAGTTTCATTTATCATACTTCATTAATATTTGACAAAAAATAAAATGAACCCTTGTTCTCCCACTTCCTCCCCCGTGATATGTTGGTACGGCCGATAATGACCGAGAACTTGACATGGAGAGGGCAGAGTACCAGCCGCCTGTTAGAAGTGCTGGTACTGTGTGCCAGTGAGCACCGGCTCACTTCAAGCACTCAGTGAAGCTGAGACTGAAATATCTTTCTTTTTTTCTTTTTGGTTCGACAAGCTGTCATTCATCTTTTCACACAAAGCTGACACGGAGCAATCATCTTAGTAGCTGTTTGATAAAACACTCAATTCACTGTCATGTGAACACACATTGCTATTGTTTGTTAGCTGGACAGTGTTTTCAGGGGTCAGGATGAGGGAACTAACCGTGTGTGTTTTCAGGGGTCAGGATGAGGGAACTAACCGTGTGTGTTTTCAGGGGTCAGGATGAGTGTTTTTTTAAATAAATCACTAAATCATTGTAGTCTATATGACTGTGGTTTCTCATGGACTACAGCTGGAATGATATTGTCTGCAAGATTGAATTATATTTCATCTTCATAGTTTAATGACAATTTCTTTTGTGTAAATATGTTTTTCTTCCACAAGCATGAGGTTGGGTATTTTGGCTATATTGTCCGTCCAAAAATCTGGCTCCGATTTATGAGATTTGTTATCAGTATTTACAGTTTGGGGATACAGCATAGTATACCGATGTTTTGTCCAATCCGGTCACAATTTGCCCTCAATCATAACTTTTGCAGACATTTTTGGAATCCGAATGACCTGCTGATTTCTTCTCTAGGGCAACTGTGTGTCCAAATATGGTTCAACTGCTTCACTTTAATTTTGACTGTGGGCTATCGGGTTTTTAGACATTTGCTCATGTTGTAAATACATTTTTCACTAAGAGCCCAATAACATCTAGCCCATATAATATCATCAGTGAAGTCTTCAGCAGAGTTTTAATGTTGCATGTAGGTTAATATTTAGTCTGTAAAATTAATGAAAATACTAGATTATGCCAGTTTCAAGTCATCAGATGACATCATCAGTTATTTTCTGACAAGCAGACCAAAACTGAAATTCAGCTTATGTTGAAAACATTTTTCTTTTTGTTTTACATTTACTTTTTAATTAATGAAAAGGCTAATTCTATGGTATTGTTTCAGTATCCGTATCGAGATACTTTAGGTAGATATGGTACCAGGACAACACTACTTTGCACCAAATCTCTGATGTCTCTCCATATACAAGGCACCAGACAGGCCTGTTTTTACATGTGAGCCAGTTGAAACATGTTGTACATCTTCCTTCTAATATAACTCACTGACCTGCTTTGTACAAGACCTCGTGGATGTAATGCTGACTGTTTTCCACCAGTTTAGATGTTCCTCCCCCCTGACCAGAGACCTTGTCCGGTAAAGCTCTCTCCCCCTCTCTGACCTCCTCTTTTCCTCTGCAGTTACTTTGAGCTGGAGAGCAGCGGGGTGAGAGAGGAGATCCGCTACCACTACCGCTTCAAAGGCAAACCGCGCTCCGAGTCCTTCCCCTACCGCCTCGCTGACGGTCAGTGGCACAAGATTGCCCTCACCATCAGCGCCACCCACCTACTGCTGCACGTCGACTGTAACAGGTAACACACAAACAAACAAACAATCAAACAAACAAACAAACAACACCTTTATGTCACAAGTGGCTGTGGCGATTTATTTCCACCGTGCTCCCTTTGAAGTGACACATCTAATGAGCTGTCTGTGTTCATCAAGGTAAATATTTGTTCTCTACTGTCTCAGCACGGATGACATGCCGTTAACAGGGCCAACAAGGAAACATCCAAGGACAAATTAACACATACACTCACACAGCAGTTTACAAGAACGGCTGTGTCTTTATATAGCCGGGAGGATGTGTGTTCGGCTCACACTGTTCCATAATCAAGTGGAAGGTAACAATGACATAATCGCCTCATCGATTGGGTAGTGAAGGGCCTTTTTCGAAAGGAGCACTCAGTCAGAGCTGATCTATAAACATGCACTTCAGCTGTGACAATCCTTCTCAATTCTCACACTCCCTCCTGAGAGCCAGGAAGGCATCACTTGTTCTTTCTGTCGTCTTCAACACAGTCGCTAGACAGACGCGCACGTGAACCAGCGGTGTAAATTGAGGCAGAGCTCCGTTACCCCTCGCTGATGAAAAGCTGTATGATTCACGGGGGGGGGGGGGGACTGCGTTGTAGTATTGATTCTTCCCAGGCGCCCATTATTCTCATCCGGCTGGTGGTTTGTCGATTAATTATCGTTGCAGTGAAGATAAACGAGAGCATCGGAGTGTTATTGGGGAGAAAGATCAAAACGTAATTGGATTGAAATTGGAATCAAAACTTTTTGCTCGCTTACAGTGTTGTGGGTGAGACCCGAGTTAATTAAGACATGGTTGGATCACATGGTTTGGTTTATGCTGCATTCACATGAAATCCGGCAGATAGTAGACGGCAAACGGGATTTCATATTAGTGGATGAGAGCAGGATTTAAAAATAAGGCGAGGCCCGCGGAGAATAACGGCAACGTTACGTAACTCCCTCACACCGGAGGAAGCTGTTTAAGTTTGCAATAAAATATTATCAGAAAGCTGCATTTTAAGGTTACATGCATTGCTAGAATAACTGCATAAAATAGGACACAGAATACTTTTATTTAATATAATTTATGCCATTACCTTAGCAACATATCGTCATGTGTGTCCTTTCGGCCGTCTACCATCTGATTCCGTGTGAATGCAGCATTGGCGCTGTTTATCATCTGCTGTTTGAAGGGGAGCTGATTCTAAATCCTTCCTGAGAGGAATACTTTACCCACAGAGGGACCATTTGTATATCAATTACTCTCCTTGAAGAAAACTTTGTTATCCTCGCACGCCTCCACGGCGAATGGAGAATTGATATTGATATTGAGATGGATCTGTTTGGGAAGTACCCAGCATATGACTGGATCGATTAGACTTGGATAAATACTGCATAAGTTGAGTGAGGGTTTGTCAGCAGATGTTTTGGTATAGCTCTGGTGTTGTTCATGGCCCCCATTTATTTCGATTCATCAAGACTTATCTTTATTTTTATGCTTCCCATTTGCCGTGGAGGTATGCAAGAAAAACAAAGTTTTCTTCAAGAAATCAAGTGAGTAATTGATACACAAATGCTTATTCTGTGGGAGAATCTACTGTCTGACCAATAGGTACTGTATCTTCCATAATAAATCTCTGTCATGCTACCTCTGGACATAATGCTACTATTTAATCTTGTATTATTTATCTTGTTTTTTTTAAATCTCTTATGTATTATTTATTTATTTATTTTTTTACTAATTTCATACTTTTGTCAGTGCTGCCGTAACTAACAAAGACGTTAGACATTATCAGCTGATTGATTACCAGACCTTATCCACGATAGTACTACTGTGCGTCAGGGCCCAGTAATGAATACATGCAATACAGCTCGCATTGGGCAACATCACCCACTGGCTCCATCTTTGAACTTCTGCCCTCTGATAAAACACAGCTGACCGCAATCAGAATGCTAACATACCAGCGGCTCTGTTAATGAATAGAAACGTCTCCCTCAAGTATTTTATGATAGCAATGCTATTAAACACTTCCCCTACCTGCTGACAAGTGTATTTAAACCTCTCCTGGCTAATTAAGCAGATTTTAACATTCAGAATGTATTCAAGAAAAGATCAAATTAAATGAAAATTAAGAAACAAGCAGCTGCTAAACCAATTAAAACATGACTCACCAGTCTGCCTTGATGTCGGGGGAACGGATGACAGTAAACATTCAAACTTCAGTTTTACTAGAGAATAACTATACAAAACACAACTACGGCCTGTGGCTATACTGTATATGTACAGTATATGTATATATACTGTATATATAACATACTATGATATGTTGTATCTGGTAGCGCTTTGGATCAGTGGACAAAAGAATCGTCTCAGTGTGGAAGGTTGGGACAGAATCTCTCAAACAGTAGAAGAAGAAGATCTTTATGCTGCTCTATGAAGCTTTTCTCGGGAGCTCAAAGTGCGAGAGGTGAATGTGAGTGTCACCGTGGTTACCAAGCGCCTCCCACCATAGATGCAGAAAGGTCAGCCAGCTCATCTGCAGCCGCTCTCAGCTCTAATCACATGTTGTCCTCAATGCGTTTCACCATGACCTGCAGCAGCACCAGCTGACACCACCTGCTGGCAAATCAGTTTCCACATGGCCTTCAAGGTAGCAATCACAGCTCATGATACCTGTCATCCGAGAAACAACACAGCACTTTAGGCTGATGTGACCCCCCCCCCCCCCCAGGCGTTATCTCTGAATCCATGGCGAAACTCTGCAGCTGTCGTATCAAACTGTGTTGTGTTTGTTTGGCCAAACTAATTTAAATTATAGCCGCAGCAGTGAGTCAGGGACTGGTGTCTTGAGGAAGAAGATGAAGATGAAAGAAGGGAGACAAATCAGAAATACAGGAGGATCCATTAATGGAACTGTCCGGAACAATAATTATTATTAAATCTTGAAGTTACGTGCCTCTAATCCACGCAGCACAATAACAGGTCATGCTCTGACAGCTCTATTTCCATTCAATAGCTTACATAAGGATATGATTCAAAATACTGCCAAAAATTGCATTTTTGAGCTATGTTGTGAAATTTACCAGACTACATTTTAATGCATGGGAAGGAAGATTTCCTCTGAATAATATTAATATTAGCATCCACAAAAACAATAGGGGCCTGCAGCAGAACTTCCTGAATTACAGAAAAAACCAGCAGCGTAGCTGTTTATCCACCCTATTTATTCAGTTTGGCACTTCCCTCATAGAATTTGACTTGTCACTAAAAGGGCATTGACCTCTGCATCATTGGCTCAAATCCTTAAGAAAAAGCCCCATTAAATCAAACTATATTTACTCTCATTTGCTACAGACTTTTCAGAAAAATAGAATATGTGCATGTTTTTCATCATTAGTTCTCAAGCGATACAGCTTGTAATTCGGTGCCTTTGTATAGCTGATAAACACCGCAGTGAGCAGAATATGTCCAGAATTACCAATCAGACTTTCCCAGAGGATACTGATGAGTATAGTTTATATGAGGACTGGATTTAGATTTGTTACAAAGAAAGGCAGTTGCCAGATTCATTTTTTGTTATTTGCATAGTGATTGTGTGAGTTTTAGTGTGGGTGTGTTTCTTCACAAAGACCTTCTTCTTCAAGGTTCCTAAAAAAAATAGTGCTGATGAATTCATCTCCTACAAATTTAGACTTTTCCCCTAGATGTTCTCCAACTACTTTGTCAGCAACCAGGTAAATGTGGCTTTGATGATAACTTTGTACAAGGACCAAGTTTAAAAAAAAGAAGGAATAGAAAATCTTTATCTGACCTGATCATCTCACTCCTCTTTAGTGTTGGGAATGATTTCTCAAAGCAAATTGGCAGCTCCATTACAGTTTCCATTTACAGCAATTTGAATTTCACACTAAACAGCACTTTATTGATTTCAAGGCTCATTAAATATCCGTAAATATGAAAGGGTGCAGTGTATCCTCACATCTTCATGGAGACTTTTACCGGGTTTCTTTGGCCTTGACAGCTCTTGCTTTATTGATGCCAATTTCACACTCGAACTGTGACATACACAGATTGATGTGATAGGAGTAGACAAAAGTGACTACAAGATGAAAACAAAAGCAAAGTGCGTCACCTAAGCCTTCAAAGCAAAAGAAGAAAGACACACAACATCGAATATTGAAATGCAAATTAGAAGAATAGACGCTTTTTTAAAAATAAATGTAAAAGTTTAGAAGAGAGACATGAATACAGGATAGGAGGGCAAGATGGTTCATGATATGTATTTAAGATGATGCGTATCAAACGCAGCACAATTAATTACATCATTGCTGTTGCATGATTAAAGCGTATACCAGGTCAACGTAGACCAGTGGACCATTCATAATAACTACTGACATTAGTTGTTTGTGATGAACACATACTGTACTCTATCTTGTTTAGTCGCCTCCTAGTGCATTTAAGTTTACCCTGGTAAGGAGTGATGCAGTGTATATGTCTTGGGCTTTTATTGTGAAAGGTAAGAACGGAAGTATTACAGCAGTATGCACTTGGAAGGTTTCCATGTATATTTTTTATCAGTTCTATGTGGACAGGTGACAAAAATAGATAAATAAATAGGACAAATGAAATAACAGTAACTATATGAACACTTTTACTTTACAGTATTTTAAAAGCAATGCAACACATTCATTGAAATAATCGACGTTGTTTTTTTCAAATTGGATAAATTGTTGAATGGAGCATTTCCGATTTAAAGACGAGAATTGGCAACATTATCCTCTACTTGATTGACGTGATCCGTTTGGATATCCCTGCTACACCCGTCTGTCTTCTACACTGTTTGTTTGTTACAAGAAGCAAATCCCCAGGCTTTCTGCAGGGCGACAGTTTTGAATTTAACTGCCATTTAGTTTGACAGCACTACAAGTGTCACTGTGCCAGAGTGAAGGACTCTTACCTTGAGGTGAGCATTTGGTCTTAATCTCAAGGTGGATCAGACATTTTGAGAGTTCA